TATCCTGAAGAAAACCGTAAGCATGATATGGCCACAAGAGCATGTGGATTCTCACAACCGCTCCATTGTCCTTGGATGCAGCAGCTTTTTTGAGCTTGGCTTTCTCCCTCTTGTATTGATTCTTGGATTTGATCTGCTTCCCGCTGGGCTTAGTGCCAGTGATTGCAGGAACAGCGACCATTTTGTAGTCAGTCACGGAGAAGTAGCCCACCTGCATCCTGACATGGAGTTGCCACCATACGGGAAGCTGTAAAAGAGAAGGAAGCGAGTATGACCCTCAAAGCTAAAACACGAGAACGAGTGCAACCCAAGATGGGTAAAGTAGATATTGATTATCAAAGGCTGCACGACGCATTCTTCAAGCATATGACAAAGCCCCCCACTACTGGTTTCGGTGAGATGTATGGACAATTTCATCTGGAACGTTTCAATATGCTTATGCTCCTTTGCTCACAGGTATTATGAGGGCAAAGAATTCGAGACGTCTCTCAAGGAGAAGCGCCCCGGGGATCTATCACCTGAACTCATTGAAGCATTGTCTATACCTCCATTAGCACCACCCCCATGGTTGATTAGCATGCAGCGGTTTGGTCCACCACCTAGCTACCCTACGTTGCGGATACCAGGGTTGAACGCGCCAATACCTTCGGGGTTCGTAGCAAATAGAACCGGAGTCTAGTCGATTACTGAACCAGTTTCTAGCGCTCAGTGGGGCTTCCATCCAGGAGGGTGGGGTAAGCCGCCGATGGACGAATACAATCGTCCATTATACGGTGATGTGTTTGGTGTGCTACCGAAAGCTTCAGATTTCCAGGAGGTGCGTTATGCTTCCCAATTTCTATATATCGTTGAGAGGGTTGCATCTCACGAATCTTTAGATCGGTGAGCCAATAGAACGAGAATCATGGGGCGAACTTGAACCTGAAGGTAGGATGGGATATCTGGAGCCAAACAAGATATTAATAATTTTTTATAACAGAGGAATCAAGCGAAGAGGAGGAAGAGGAGGAAGAAGAAGAGGAAGAGGAAGAAGAGGCTGTTG